TTACAGCCATAGTTTAAGCATCGCTCTCAGCGAGGACTCATGCCGCAGAAATAACCCAGCAGTACTGGGCACAAGGACTTGGCGCGTTCCATCCTGCCTGTGAGACACGCTTTGGGCATCTAGGCAAGTTCAGCCTATGGACCAAGTTCTTGGGAGCTGCTACCCTGCCCCTTCGTGAGCTGGGCTGTATCACAACTGTTTCCGCGATAAGGCAGCCTAAGCCCAGCTGCAGGACTGGGGGTCACGGCCAGCCAGGAACGCACCAGCATAGTTGGGTTTAGCTCCTGTGCTCATCCTGCCTAGTACGAGGGACAGAGGTGTAAGAAAGGAAGCGCTGCTTACTCCACTAGGTCACAGGGCTGTCCTAGACAATTGCAATCATTTCCAGATCACAACAGTTTCGATGCCACATGCAGCGCAACCAGTCCTCTGGTCCAAGAGAGACCAGAGACTTCCCACGCTCCGTTTCGTCCTTGCCAGAGGCACCAGCACTGGTCCTTTTGGCTTCCCTGAGGGCCACCCTGGTGCCTGGCTGCAAGCAGGGAAGCCAGGCATGGTAGAAAACTACTGATCAGTAGTTAGCCAAGAACATCCCTGGGCTTTGGGCTTCTTTCCCACTAAAGACTGACCCCAGCCCACCCACCCCACAGTTAACATCTAGCCCCAAATCCCCCAAGACATCATTTCAGAAATCTGCAATATTTCAATCAAAACCTACTGAGGCCATTGTTATTTTCACGATTGCACATAGCTTCTTCCATCTCAAAAGCACGAGTATCTTCATTAACGCTCAAGGAGGGAGTCGAGCTTCTGCGGTCAGAGCTACGCGACGGCATCCAGCACCGACTGCGCGTGGCCAGAAGAGCTGACCCCGGACGGCTGAGCAGGCAGCAGGGACAACTGCGCGTCAGGAGCTGAGTGACAGGTCAGATGCACCACCGAGTTTTTTGGCAAGGCTCAGCCCAGCCACCCAAAGCCAGGAGAGAGCCAGCAGGCTGCGTAAAAAGGGCTCTGGGCTGGAATCACTGGAGCAACAAGGTCATGGCACAGAATTTAAAAGTCACCACTGTACTCTCCAGCACATGCAAAGGCTGGAGCAATCCCAGGCAGGCTCCAGGTACCCTGGCAAGAGACATCACTGAAGCAACAGCACCCAGAATTGATTTGCAGTGTAGCCCAGTCACATCAAGTGGCAATAAAGCTGTAAGTGACTTCAGGACAGCAAACCCGTTCGCGTGAGATGAACGGTGGCTTTAAAAAAGATCACTAAATCCCATCAGCATGACATACACAAACCTCATTTATTTTAAAGGCTCCTATTAAAGTGCCTTTTATTCCGAGCAATAGGCAGTTTTAAATTGCAAAAGAACTTCTCGGATCAGCCAGCGACCGTCTTCATTCCCACTTGGCCCATGGGGAGAGAGGGGCTGTGGCAAACACCAGCCCCTCGGGGACAAGGGTTCTTGAGTGCTGTGGTTGGACTGTCTGGACGGGGTGTCCTGTGCCCCGGCGTGGGAGTGTTGGCGCAGCAGTAGTGCCCCGTGGCTTTGCCGTGGTGTGCAGGGTGTCCGTTGAGTTGCCCAGGACGACTTCACCTTCCTGAGACCTCCGGGGACCCAAGGTAGGTTTCTCCCCTGGCACTGATGTGTCCTGGTGGGAAGCGTGCCAGGGCTGGTGGCTCAGGCTTCGGCGTCGTCCTGGCTCAGCATGCCAGCGGCGTGTAGGAGCGGCGTTGTCTCGGAGGGGGGTGGTTTGCTCTGCATGGTGGGGTGGCGCGGGCTCTTCTCGGCATCGGTTGTCTGGAGAGAGGAGGACAGCGGTTACAGCCGCGCACTCGGCATTGGCACCGTGCTCAGACCCTACAGCGCAGGTGTCACCACATCCCCACATGGGACACACGTGCCTCGAACCTTCATATGGCCAAGAACCCTTTTCTGAAGGTTTCTTAAATTGTAGATTTTTGCATCTCCTCCCTAAATAAAATGAAGTTATTTCCATTCCTGCCCCCTAACACTTGTAACACTCCCAAACACCCAACCTGGAGAGCTGTGTCACCAAGTAGAGCGGTTTGGGGACAACATCAGCATGCTGCACAGCGTCACAGAAGATGAAAGGGAGATGGACAGGATCTTCTCAGGAAACAACAGCACAAAGATCCCCAGCTGCAGTAGAGACAGACAGCATCCATCCCTGCTATAACGGTAAGTGCAACCTTTGAGGAAGGTGAAGGACAGAAGCTGGTGCCTTCTGGCTTGAAGAGGAAGGCTCCTGCTCAACCTAAAGTTTTACAACCTCAAAGCTCAAGAGGAGCCAGATACACCTTCAAGCAAAGTATGTAGGCACCCTGACCCTAAATCATGTAAGACCCCCAGGAGGAAGCAGCAGCAAGTGACAGTAGTGGGTCACTCCCTGCTGCTGGGGACCAAGGAACCCACCTGACCTGTCATCTGGAGACATTTGCTGCTTGCTGGGGACCTGGATCTGGGGTATTGTGGAGGGACTGTGAGGCTTGTCCAACCCTTTGACTATTACCCACTACTGCTTCTGTGTGGGCACCAATGATACCACCAGGACCACCTGGAAAGTATCAAAAGTGACTACAGAGCTCAGATGGGGGGAGATAGGGCAAAAAAGATGATTGATATTCAAGGATCACCTCCTCCAAGCTCAAGAGTCACCCATCCCAACAAGCATCCCAAGTCAGGCAAAAATGCCAGCAGCCTTGCGTGGATGAACAAGAAGCTCCTGGCCAAACTTAAACACAAAAAGGAAGCACGCAGAAAGTGGAAGCAGGGACAGGTAACCTGGCAGGAGTACAGAAGCACTGTCCCAGCATGCAGGGATGAAGTTAGAAAAGCCAAAGCCCAAGTGGAATTAAATTTGGCCAGGGATGTCAGAGGCAACAAGAAAGGCTTCTGTAAGTACACAGTTGACAAAAGGAAGACCAGGGAACATGTGGGCCTGTCGCTGAATGAGGCAGGGGACCTTAGAGACCAGGGGAAAGTCTGGAGCAAGGAAGATGAAAAAGAATGAGGTCAGAGAACACCTAAGCAAACTAGACATGCATAAACCCATGGACCTTGAAGGGTTGCACCCATGAGTCCTGAGGGAGCTGGCTGATGTCATTGCCACACCACTCCCCATAATCTTTGAACAATCATGGCAATTGGGAGAGGTGCCCAAAGACTGCAGGAAAGCAAGTGTCACGTCTACCTTACAGTTCAAGAAGGAAGACCCAGGGAACTACAGGCCAGTCAGCCTCCCTTCAATCTCTGGGAAGGTGATTGAGTAGCTAACCCTAGGAACCACCTCCAGGGACATGAAGGACAAGAAAGTCATCAGGGGTAGTCAGCACAGCTTCACCAAGGGGAAATGATGCTTGGCCAACCTGATAAACTTCTACGATGAAATGAATGGCTTGGTAGATGAGGGGAGAGTAGTGGATATTGTCTAGCTGGACTTCAGTAAGGCTTTCAACACTGTCTCCCATAAGATCCTCATAGAGAGCTATGAAGCATGGGCTGAATGAGCAGACAGTGAGGTGGGCTGAAAACTGGCTGAACAGCCAGGCCCAGAGGGTCATGAGAAGTGGCATGAAGTATAGTTGGAGGTCAGTAACTAGCAGCATACACCAGGGGTCAATACTGGGTCCAATCCTGTTTAGCACCTTTATTAATGATCTGCAAGTTTGCTGATGACACAGAACTGGGAGGAGTGGCTGATACACCAGAGGGACCTCAAGAGGCTGGAGAAACAGGCTGACAGGAACCTCACAAGGTTCAAACAAGAAGATGGGCAAAGTCTTGCACCTGGGGAAGAACAGCCTCATTCATCAGTACATGTTAGGGGCCACCCAATGCAAGCAGCTTGGCAGAAAACGAGCTGAGGGTCTTGCAGACACCAAGTTGAACATGAGGGAGCAGTGTGCCCAGGTTGCAAAGGCAGATAACTGCCCTGGGCTGCATTAGGAGTGCTGCCAGCAGGTCAAGGCAAGTGATCCTCCCCCTCTACTCATCACTGATGAGGCCACACCTGGAGTATTGTGTCCAATTCTGGGCTTCCCAGGACAAGAGAGTTGGAGCTACCACAGAGAGTCCAACAAAGAGCCAGTAAAACATTTAAGTGACTGGAGCATCTCTCACACGACCAAGGGCCAAGAGAGCTTGGAGAAGAGACGGCTCAGGGGGGATCTTATCAATGTGTACAAATATCTGAAGGGAAGGTGTAAATACAGAGCCAGGCTCTTCTCAGTGGTGTTTCAGGGACAGGACAAGAGCCAGCGGGCACAAGCTTAAACACAGGAGGTTCCATCTGAACATTAGGAAACACTTTTTTTTTTTAGTATGAAAACTATAAAAACTGCAACAGGTTGCCCAGAGAAGTTGGGGGATCTCCATCCTTGCCCATCTGGACATGGTTCTGGGCAACCAGCTCTAGGTGACCCTGCTCGAGCAGGGGGGATTGCCTAGATGACCTCCAGAGGTCCCTTCCAACCTCAACGATTCAGTGATTTTCTGATCCTGTAATACAAACCCAGATATTTTATACATCAGAAATTCCCTCTGGAAAGCTTTTCCATCGAGGCACCCTGCATGCAGGAGGGGAGTGACACCCACCAGTTAACCACCTCTGCTACGCACCATGAGTTTTTACCCACTTGAAAACTTACCTCTGGATCTCAGACACTTGGAGGGGGTGGAAAATAGGCAAGAAAAGTGTTTCCTCACACCAATCCTACTTTTCACCCTGATCCCTGCTGCTATTATTAGGGCTGCAGAGCAGGTACACCAGGAGAAACAGGAGCATGTACCTGCAGCCTGGTTTAAGTGTGAGTATTAAGACTTCTAAAGTTGCCCTGCATAAAGCCACGAGACAACATCATGATATCAAAGCTTGTCTGGTAGACATGGACAGTCAACATTCCCGTTTGATTGGTTTTAAGCAAAGTTTAATCAACTCAAGACGAGAGAAAAAACACATTACCTTGACTGGGTACCCACCTACAGTTTGGCTTCCCGTAACACCGTCCCCTTAACCGGAGGCAGCTTTTTGGCAGAGGTGGCCTGGTTGGCCTTATTACTGTCTGAGTTTTTATTGCTACTCCAAAATAAAGTGCATTTTTCCTAGAAGACAATCAGGCTCGTTTATAGTGCACTTGGACATGAATTCCAGGAGGGTTCCAATTTTAGGAGATTTTAAAAATCACTGTCCAACTAGAATCTAGTTATTAATGAAGATTTCAAAATTTAGGTTAAACTAAAGCCCTAGTTAAGATTTTGGTCAGTGTCAAGCCAGTTTTAAAATGGTCTGTTTGCCTTTTAAACATCTCACCATGGCTTTGGGCCATGTTAGCAGAGGAAAGCTACATCTGGGCATGTTTTACACCTGTGCAGATTTATACTTTTTTTTTCAGAACTGCAGGTCCAACAGATGCATTTCAAACTGGCTCTACTGCACACTAGCACTAAGATTTACGTGTTTCACAGTATCTCATCTGGGCTGGGTTTAGGGCACACTGCTCCCTCCAGAAGCCAGAGGCACACAAGATACTCCAGGAAGGAGCTGGGTTCAAGGAGACCTTTGCACTAGCAGACAGGGGAAGGTGCAGACAATGCCCCCTCTCAGCATCACCTCTGACCTCGCCTGTGGCTTCAAGAGGGAGGGCTGTGCATGATCAAGCAATCATCACTAGATCAGCAATGCTTCAATCAAGTGAGGAACACGCCTTGGCTGCAAATGGCTGTCTTCCAGTTTATGAGCTCTTATCTATCCATTAGGCAGAGACTTTCATGTGCTGTTGCACAGCTTCCTTAGAGATTTAAAGTCACTGAGGTTTTTTAAAAATCACTTTCCAGGTAGTCAGGTACTTCCTGCAGTCGATTCTTAGTTCTAGTGCTTCATCACAGTTTTGGCCCAGCACCCAACTACAGCTGGCTCACACCTGGGTTTGGGATATTTCACAAGCAGATACGCAGTTGATTTGAGTGAATTTCAAATCCAGTTTTTCTTCATCCCTTTCTGGCATGGTTAAGGCTCTTTGATACCAGGAATTAAGACTAGCACAAAGCAGGGTGAGGAAATGCCAGCCCAGGGTTGCATAAGGTCTTCCAAACAGCTGCCCAGCAAATACTGACATTTTTCAGATATGCTGGTGCTACACAGTGAAGTCCGTTTGCCACCAACCACTCACATTTGTCAAAGCAGAGAGGTTCAGCACCCAAAGCCTGACCACCTCAGGAGCGTAGTGAGGGCTTAACGCCGAGCCCTCAGCCCCAGCATCGCTCCCACTCTGCAGGAAAGCGTGTGGAAGAAACATGGGGATTTGGGATCATGTGTTTAAGTCAATTAAGCAGTTGTAGGCTTGGTTAAAATCCAATTACGTGACACTCCGAGAACCCTGGTGCTATCTGAAGTGGGTTCGCGTTAGTGTTTCAGTAAGAGCAGTTACAGGGGGTTGAGCAACAGCAGCCCCTTGCACGTGCCCTCACCGTAGCCACTCATCCTAAGCCTTGCCTTCTTATCCCCACAAGTAGCCTCTTCACTTCCGTAGCTTTAGAGCCAGCTCAAGCCATTTGACCGTAGCACAGAAATAAGCTTGGCTCTGACAGAGGTGAGGGTAGGGGGCCAGGTCTCTACTTCAAGAGCTAAAGCTTCCAGAGAGCTTAGTGTCATCAGATGAATGTTTTAGAGCTGGAGCCACAGATCTCCAAGTGTTTTTGCTGGTTTATATTCTGTCCCAACAGCTCAGCCCAGCCTGGTGTGCCCTCACTGCCCTCACTGCCCAGCCTGGTGTGCCCTCACCCTCACTGCCCAGCCCATCACACACCAACTTCTACCCAGCTGCCAGCTCCCTCTAAGCTTCAAAGGTCTTCACTTCTCAGAAAGCCCAGATCCACAAAGGCCTGGAGGGTTTAACTTCCAGAGCTATTTGGGGTAGTTTGCAGGGAAACAAGTGAGTTTCAGGGGAAAAAGAAGGTTTTGTTCTTGGCTGAGTAGCAGCCACGGGGTCTGTGCCCCTTTTCTGCAAGAACACAGCGACCGCATTTCATTTGCGAACAAGCTGCACTCAAGTAGCTCCATCTCCTCGAGAAGGCTCTGTTCGGAATAGAAAACTGTTGGGACCCTGCAGAGATGCACAGATTTGTGCAACGGCACAGACCTGCTGCTTGCCATGGAGGCTGGGTTGATGAGCTAGGCTCGTTTCGTTAGCCAGACGAGCTGAGAAACACCTCCTCCTACAGAAACCCACTTCCATCACTGCCGTGCACTGAGAAGGCAGAAATGCTTTTATGTTATTTATTCTCAGCCCAATTTCTAGATGGCTGAGAAGTCCTGCTGCTATGTGCTGGCACCATTAGGACATCGTTGGTGCCAACAGCCAATGTTTCCTCAGGAGTGTTAGATTGTCAGCCCGATCTACATGATCTGATTAAGTCTGATTTGACTAACAGCATTTCCATTAGACATCTGCAAGTTCTTACCTGACTCATTGCCATGAGTACAGCTGCTGAGATAATGAGTAGGACACTCAGCCCAAAGAGGATATACTGCAGGTAGTCCAGCAGGGACGGGATCAGCACCAGGTTGGTGTAAAACTGCTTTAGGACTGAGCCTTCGATGGATCCGCTCTGCTCAAAAAAAAGCAAAATTGTCAGTGGCATTTCCCTCCCATCCAGGGCTGAGACAGACCACCTGTGCAACCCCTCTCCCATCACAGATTAGGGAATTTATGCAAGATTCAGTCAGGCTAGAAGCTTTTACTGAATAGTTGCAGTCAGCTGGATATGCAAACAGCTGGGGACTGCACTCCCTGGCCCACATTAGCATAGGGACACTGGCAGCTCTGCTCTGGGCCCTATTTAACCCCACATCTAGGACAGAGCCAGAGGTTTACCAAGTATAGTGCAGGGTTTGTTCAGCTCAGAGGGCTTAACGACATAGCCAAGTATTGCAAAGCCTTCTGTTGGTGCTTAATTAATCTGGCTGGCTTAAAGCTTTATCCAAAGTGGAGTTTCCACAGCACTGGGCGATGGGGAAGCGGTTCCCCACTCCTGCAGGATGGGCTCTGCAGAATCAGGTCGAGGAAGGCAGCTCACCTCTGCAAACCACAGCAGCGGCAGAACCACTGGCTTGATACTCCCTGTTTGACTAGAAAGGAAGAAAAAGAAAAAAAGAAAAAGAAAAAAAGAAATACACACTTAGATTTCTGCTTGATCAGGCCACAGTTAGTCCCATAATTCTTCCTAAAGGGATGGAGACTGACAGTGGCCAGGAAAGCAAAATAAGGAGGGAGCAATTCCT